AAACACCCCCAGGTAGTAGAGTGATATTTAAGCTTCCTTGGCTGTCTGGTCTTTCCTTCAGAGAAGTATTCTTGTTCTGCCTTAGTATTCCATTATATAAATTCTTTAAAAGGGTTGAACATTTGTCACTAATTTCATGTTTCTTGCTGTGTGCTAAGTAATTTATGGTTTCACCGTATTTAGGCAATATTTGGAATTTCATGAATGGGTTGCTGGTCTTCTCTCCTTTGTCCCCTGATTTCAAAACAAAAACAACAGTTAGCAATAAGATTTTATGAGATTTTTATCTCTGAGAGGAGATTTTATTTAGTGACTGAATTGAACCAGAATTTGTAGCCTATGGGATGCGATGGAAACTTTCCCCAAAGGATTGTTCATATTGCCCTTGCAGTTCAAGTCCCGGATTTGTGCCTCTACACCTTTCTTAGCCTTCAGGAGGATTTTTTCCTCCCCTTGGTTCTGGGCCTAGACTTGGCTGTGCCCTAAAAACGGTTCTGGAACCGGTTTAGAAGCAAGGAATCTTAGCCTCAGAATTGTGGACTCCATTTCTCCTCCCCGTCTTCTTTCTTCTCTGCTTGAGAGGTAGTGGACGGCACAGGAGAAAGAGGATTGGAGTCACACAGACCTGGGTTTGCATCTGAGCTCTTGCTTACGAGTTGCGTGACCACAGGCAACATAAGCACCTTTTTAGGCCTCCCATCTCAAATGTAAAATCGAGACCCTGCTAATGACCTGCTGGTGGTTGGGTGAGGCACAGTCGTTTCTTCAGGGACCTGTGCTCGGCACTTGCTGGGCTAAGCACTAGAGCGAGATCAGTGCTTTGAAGCTACTGTGTGTTCCTCGCTGACCCCAGCCTCCTGCCTCCCTGGGAGGTGACCACCAGCCTGAATTGTATGTTCCACATTCCCTAGCTTTTTAAAACAATGGATCTGTGAACAGTACATTTTTAGCTTTGCCTATTTGGGTTCTGTGAAATGATATCATATCGTGTATAGTCTCTGCTAAGGGAACATCACAGCAGGGGAATGTAGGACTCTTGGCTCCCCGCTTGACCTTTGCTGGGGACATGGGTGGGGTTGCAGTTTTTTCTGCGGTATGTGGCTGGAGTAGTGGTTTTTACGTAAAACATTTTTATCTTCCTAGGCTTCCGCGTTATTGATGCTTTAGAGAGGGCAGACTTTTTCTGATACTCAATCAGAGGTAGGGCTAGCATTATGTAACATGGGGGAGTGAATCCAATAAGTAAATGGCAGTTACTAGGAACCAGATTTACTGCTCTTACAGGGAATAGAAAGGTGAAAACTAGAATGAACCCTGTGCTGTTGGATTGGAATTCAGGGTATTTGTAGAAACTCTTGGTTTTCAGTATACATAAATAGATTTGGAAAGAAAAAAGGTATGCATGCATGTATGTGTGTGCTTCTGTTCACTTAGATGAGCTGGGAACAGCAATAACCCAGTTGCAATAAGCACCCCCAGGTCTTTTTTTCTAAATACTATTTTTTCCACTAAAATGGTAGGAATCATCAGACTAGAAAATTGCTTTTGGCAACTGCCATAGAATAATTAATTTGGCCAAGAATTATCAATAGACACTAAAAATATTGGGTGAAAGTTTGTTGGGAAATAGGAGAGACAAATCTGGGACTATTTATATAGTCTTAAAGTATCACCTCACAAAATACTTATTAATTACAAGGGAAAAAGAATAACTGTACAGTGGGCACATCTGACAGATACCACCTTAATCAACTGACGTAAGTTAACATGACCAGTCAGGGGAAAGAACTGAAACAGTGTACCACCTGAGAGGGTACGGTGAGAGGAACTCTTCTGTGGTATTCCTTCTGAACATTCACAGTTTGAATCTATTCATACGGAAATATCAGACAAACCCACATTAAGGAACATTCTATAAAACAGGCCTGGAATCTTCAAAATTCGCTTAACGATGGGAACATGTTCTTAGAAAAGTCATTAGGCGATTTCATAATACTGTATTTAATTTTCACTTACTTTGTGTATGCCATTATTTTCTCCCCAGTTTGCTATTGAGCTGTTTAAACTCTTTTCTTTCTCTTTTTTACCACTGTGTCTGCCTCAGTGTAGAGCATGTTTCAATGGCTCTTAGTAAAAGGTGTTGACCTGGTTGATTGCTATCTTAGAATTTAGAGTTTTCAGAAAGTATAAAGTAGGGTAAGGGAATTTGATAGAGTGGCGAATGTGATGCTGTACTCATCCGTAATCTAGTCAGCTCATGTTTGTGTGTGCGAGTGGTTTCTCCCCGAAGGTTTAGGATTAAGCATATTAGGACCAAGCTAGTCTTACTCTAAAACTTGGATGGTTGAGGATGGGGGGTTGAGTAGCTGTGGGGAGAACGTTAATTGTCGCAGCAGCCTTCTCTCTCGGAAAACGTTAAGTGTAAGCTGTTTGGTAGAACGGGCCTTTCCCCTTAGGACTGATAATCAGAGGTGAGAGGGTGGAATTGGCCCCTCAGGCCTTGCTTTCTTTGGTAGAACTATAAAATCCATCATAGGGCTTGATTTCCTTAGATAGGTTGGAGGACAGACTTCTCTTTAGCAGTTACACTAATTTTCATTTTTCTCAGAATGATCAAGGAAAAAAAGCTTATAAAACCCCAGAGTGGTAGTTACATGGCACTTAATGTACTCCCCCACATGCAGGCTTTTCTTCAGCACTGTTATTTTTTTCTTGCTGCCTTTACCGTGTAGGTGGCCTTCTCCGGATTGCTGCTGACGGGAAATTGAGCAACCTTTCTTTTTTGGAACAGAATATATTTTACTGCTGAAAGAAAAAAACCTGGTGTTTATGTTTTGAAATTTAACTGTGAATTTTTGTTTGAAGACCAATTTAAATCTAGAAAAATGGAAGTAGGGGTTAAATCTCCTATTGTGCACTGATATTTCTGAACCTTCCCAGTAATTTTGGGGCCTTCCTTTTTTGTGGAATTACTTTGCTTTGTTCTCTTAGCCATTGATGGGTATTAAGCAGTTGTCTTTGACCAGGTTATTATTTTTCTTGCTGTTGTCTGAGGCTGTCTTCCCCAGTTGTCTTCTTTCTGTAATGGAGGTGTGATGGGCTCCACGTTGATTTAACAGGCATCTTGAATCAAGAAGGTATGTTAGCCCTACCTTTGGAAAAACACATCATTCAGTAAAGCTCCTTCGTCATTTGCCTAGAGCAAAGCCTCCCACAGCATGGGGAAGGAGCTCCAGATGGGAGGCCTGCCTCTGCCGCAGATTCTGCCTGCTCTGCCAACCCCCCTGGTGCTTTGGGATACGAATGCCAGGCTGCCCACTGCTCACCACCACCCAGGTGCTCACTGCCTAGGGTGATTGTGCTTGGGTTTGATTTGGGTAGTTCCTTTATCGCGCTGGGGATCCGGAGGAAGAAATCAGCCTGTAATTAGAATATAAGCCCGTATGCCACAGCATGAAAATGTTGTCCAGGTGGAGTGGAGTAAGCCTGATGGAATCTAAGTGGGTTCGTAAATTACATCCTTTTGCTTGAGTTTAAAATTTGCATGTTGGTTCGTGTACCTAAGTGGATTACTAGTGCAAATCAGCTGTCAGGTATGTCTTATTTTTGTAATTAGCTGGTTATGGCTCATTAATTAAGATGAACAAAGTATATATTTTGAGTGTTATAGGTTTCTTTACTCATTCTGTGGGTGCAATCATGTACAAGCTGCAAATTTTATTATCTGGGCTATCTGACTCTCAGTATACTCTTTGTAGGTTTCTTTTCCCCCCAGTTTTCTTCTGATGTTTATTCCATTTGCTCTTGGTAGAGCAGGAAGGACCTGTTGCAGGGTCTCACTGAGCTCTCTTCTGCTGCATTACCCACGTTCATAGTGCAGGGACCTGGTAGGTTCATTAAGTCAGTCTCATTTCATATGCAGTAAAGTAAGTTGTCAAGTACCTTTATATTTGGCTGAATAAGAGATGGGAATCCTAATATCCAGGGCGACAGGCTGGGAAGAGGAACTTCCCCCCCTGGTCTTCACCAGGTGTTGGAAATATCTGTGAGTGGAACTGAGTCCTGGTTCTTACTCTTCTTAGCTTCCATCTTGTACGTTTGGGAACAGGTTTTGGAAATCAGCGTGGTTTGAAATAGTGTTTCACCTCAGCAAACATTAACAAATTAGTTTCTTGGAAGCTCTTATGGACAGGTATAGTCTGATTTATTTTACTGTTATTAGGAATATGTACTGCAGATTATCAATATTGGGCATAGATGTGTATTCCTTTAAGTAATAATAAGCTTAGCATCACAGAAAATGCCTTATGACTGTGCTAGAAGCTTATAACCTATCCGAAATGACCAATGTGAGAATTTCTAAATAATCAGAATGTTTGGTTGCTTTGGAACAGGTTTTCTCGATCTCACTGCTATTGATATTTTGGACTGGATGATTCTTTGTCATGAGGGGCTGTCCTGTGCCTTGTAGGATGTGTAGCAGCATCCGTTAAAGGCCAGTAGTGTACCCCGTCCCCTCGCTGTGACAACCAAAAATATCTCCAGACATTGCAAGGTGTCCCCTGGGGTGCAGAATCACCCGTGTTGAGAAGCACTCGTTTGGAACAGTGGTTCCCGTAGGCAGCTGATGGGCCGACTATGTCAAAATCACCTTGTTTGGGGGCTTGTTACACATACAGTTTCCGAGTTTCCTCCAGCCTTCCTGAACAGGTTGTTTGGGGTGAGGCCCTGGATCAGCAATCTGCCTACAGACTGAGTAGCCAGGTTTAAGAATTTGTTGTTTAAGTTTGAGTGGCTATTAGTTGGCTTAAATTTAAATGTGTGTTGAACTATGCATAAAGAGATTATAAATTAAAGAGGGTTTTAGAGGTAAAGTATAACATTTCACAATTATGATTTGATTTATAGCAGTGATTTTTTTTCCCTTTTTACTGTGAGGTACAGTTGTATGATTTTCAAAATTTGAAAATAACCTAAAGTTTATAATTATTTTAATCCAGGTTTTGAGAGGATTCCTCAAGTTTGACCTCAAGCAAGATTCACTACTAACTTTGAAGTAGAATAAGGTGAGTTGGCGGATTAGTCACAAAGTCATGTTGGGGGAAGGGAACATCAAACATTCATTCTTAGACGACCTGCTACTTATGGCAGAGTTTTGGTTTATCAGATGAGGATCCTATATCTTTTTCCCCCACTGTTTTTTTCTTCCTTCATTGTTTTACTGCTGAGAGGCAGAAATGGAAATGGAGAAGGGGAGAAACTCCTGTGCAGTTTTTAGACGCTGATTTCTGAATTCAGCATTGTCATCTTTCTAGATAAAATGTTTCACATATTTTTCTGGCTAGTTAAATTAATAGTAAGAAAGTTTTGGTTACCTATTTATGTTTCCATTCCATAGTAAGTACTTCAAATGTTTAAAAAAATCTTTGTGTGTCGTAAATTTGATGGAAGTTTACGCCTCAATTCATGTTCTAAATAAGAATCTTGTTAACGCTGATGTATTAGTGTGTAATTTGGAATACCAAGCTTGTTTGAAAAAATTGAGAGATGGTTGGATGCTCTGCTGGCCTGAGAGTCGCCATGCGTGTGTTACCACTGATCTTAGATTGACTGCCTTTGGTTACTCCTGGGTAGAAACCCAGACCTATCGGAGGCCTGTTCTGATGTTTCTGTGGACATTTCTCAGACACTTTAATCAGTGTAAAAGGGTATCCTCTTATTGAGAAAAATAACAGCTTAATTTGGGTTGAGAGAGACATTTCTATAGGCTGAAAGTGCTCTAATCTGTTAAGCTCTTAAATTCAGATAAAACAACTGGTTTGAGGTTGCATAAGTTTCTTTAGTTTTGTTACTTTGTTAACCTTCATCTCAGCCAGATGCTGAAACAAAGACCTTGGGATTTTTCTTATATGCTGCTTTGTCAGGAGCAGAAGCAAATTGCCTAAGGAGTCAGCTGTTCTGGAGCAGCTGCATCCTATCAAGGACAGTCAAGGTTATCTGAGCATCTCACCTCTGTAAACCCTTGTGCAGCGCTTACGGTTTCTTTTCTGAAGCCCGCTGGGTAATTGGAGCACGGCTTTCAAAGTGGCTCGCTATTTCTGACCTTCCTTGAATTTCAGTAAGAGAAATTGGGGAATGATTATCTCTGGAAACGTTTTTAGAGTACATTAGGACACTTTCCGGGTAGCATTTATTTAACCATTCTCAGCACCATTCTTCTTTAATAGAGGTGGAATCCAAGAAAGATTTTTCGATCTCTTTAATTTTTAGCCATTTGAAGAGCCCAACTTTTTTTTGTTAGAAACACAACTGAAAAACTGTCTTTGAGAATGTAGCATCTTTGGGACCATCAAGAATTGCTTCGTGGTGAAGTGAGCAGCCTGTAGGAATGCTACAGAAAGGTAGCTGTGGCTTAGGTACTTTGCAAAGGAAGAAACGTCAGTGTATGTTACTGAGCGCCCTCTGGTTCTCATCTCAAGCTTGTAAGCTGTTTTGCAAGATGATTTTTTTTCTCTTGAGTATCTGTATACTATAGAAATGTGCACCTTCAGTGCAGTCGCTGTATGTCTTACGGTATTTAAAACACTGAAATAAGGGTCAATTCCTGGTCGATAAACTTGAATGACAGTTTTTAGCAAAGGCCTTAAGTTCTAGGGTTACTATGAGGCTCGTTTCACTTTTATGTTGTAGTAGCTACAACTTGTCTCTTGAGTTGAGTTGCTTAGTTTAGTAACCAGAACCTCTGGGCACTATACTCACTTCTTTTAATGGCAGTACCGTCTGATAATGCTAATACGGTATATCTGTGAGGTCAGATGAGAGATTCTTCTCTTGTGCATTCATGCATGCTCGGGTCTCCCAGACAACAGACACAGGAGGCCAGGATTGAGTGGGTTTCCAGACCTGATGGTGGCATGACTCTTTCTTGGTCTTCTAAATATATCCTTCTTCCTAAGGGCTCTTTCTCTACTTAAGGGATATCTAAAACAATTCCCATCCTCCAAAGAAACCCAAAAAGACAACAAAACAAAGCAAAAACCAACCCACAAGATCTTGTAATTGATGTGTAGTTCTGTGTGTATCTTATTAAATCCGTCATTCTTATACTTTATTTAATTTTTGAGTAGCATTGTTCTACAATAAAAATTGAGTTGAGAAAGCATACTTTTTCCTTTCCTTTAAAAAAATTTTTAATTGCTACATTCTATCTAAATACCCAGCAAGAAACATAGAGTGATGTTAATTGATAATGATCTGACTAAATTATGTGCTTTACACACTAAAACATTTGAATAATTTTCCCACGGATTATATTTTTCTTTGGATTTTCCCTTTCTTGTATAGACAATTATGTACTCATAGGTAAATGAGATGTTATTTAAATTTTTCTCTTAGTTCAGCTTGGTTATTGCATCCAAACCTTCTGCTTTTCATGGGAGAGTAATTGAGGAAATCTTTAAAAAGCTCTCCACTTCTTTCTTTTCTTGAAAACAAAATAAAAAAGAATAACACTGATCACATTTATTTTTACTAATAGTTTGCTGGTATAATACGCAAAAGTGAAGACATACTTTCTGTTGTTTTATGAAAAGGCCTCACCAGTTAGTAAGTGTAATAAGAAAAGAAAAAAAATGCATTTTGTTGCATTCTTCTAGACTTTTCTTGGTGGTACATGTGGTGGTGGCAAGAAACCTAACAAGCATAATGCTTTATGTTGGCCATCCAGACAATAGAATGACTAGCAGATTTAGAGGTCGGTTAAAACATGGAAGCCTAGAAGACATTTCCTTCTTGGCTGTCCAGCCTGCAGAACTGTGATCTGGCTTCCTCATGTCTGCTGATGTACCTGTCTCTTTTCTCCTTATTATTCTAACAAATTGTGTCTTCCTTAAAACGTATGAGAACAGCTGTTCACATCCAAAACAGTTTCCTCTTTAAACATAGTCCAGTGACAAAGGCAATAGATTAAATAATAATACCACTTTGAATATATTACCTCTAAGAAGAAAATAACTCAAATGTTTACCTTGAGCAGACTCCTTAGATTCTTTGGGTCAACCTAAATTGAAGTTTCACAGTGGCTCTGAGGGTACAGAAGGGAGGCAACTTTTTAAGATAAATAATGGATGAAATTTTATTAACTAAATGCCAACTATAATATAATATGAAAATACTGAAAATTTTTAGTAGCAAAGGGACGCTTGCAGAGTTTTCCTTTTATCTTTGGCCATGACTGATAGGAATTGAGTTTGGCAAGCCTTCAGGTCACTTCAGAATTATTTCATTATGCTTATTTATTATTCAGAGGCGCCTTCTTTGTTCTTAAAAAAGAAAGTTATGTTAAATCCTTTGGCTAGCAAACGTTTTACCAGCCTATGGAGCGTCATAGGACCTCTTCATGTTTACTACTGCTGTCATACCCTCTTTCTCTTCAATAAGAACGACTTATTCTCACCGATCTTACCTTTTTGTTCTTCAATAGAGAGTTGCCTCTTTTAAATCCATTCTAATGGCAGACAGAACAGATGGTAATAAGAAGTGAATTAAGTTGCTTTGGAGGAGTGCCTTATTTCTTAGGACCTGGTCACTGTTTTGGGCCCTGGATTTGTATGGATATGATTCTTTATAATGATACCATGTTACCCACTTTTTTGACTGTCTAATACATTTAAAATTTCCTCATAAGAGTGGATTTGCACCAAAGTCTAAAGTGAGAAATCAGAAGATAGGGAAGCAGGAACATGAGCTGTGTGTGGGATTGTGGGTGGAGGTCACAGTGGCAATTGGGCAGAGCCCTGCCCACCCCCGCCTGCACCTGCCTGCCTTAAAAAGTGGGGAGGGGGAAGCATTTTGGAAGACCTGGCTTCTGGGAGCAAATCGCAGGGTGAACTAGAGATGAAAGTGGTGGGGAGCTTGCTTCTGCCAGTTCTTGACGATACACTGATGTTTTCCAAAGGGCTTGGGAAACTACAGTTACTAGTGGTGGGGGTTTTATTTTAAAACCTGGACTTTATTTTAGTGTTTGTTAAAGCTTAAGCATATTTTATGTATAAAAGGAAGTTGTAAATATCATCACTAGCATTTGAGTGGCTTTCATCAAAACCATGCGTGTGGAATTAAGGCCATAGAGTGGGTGAAATCTTGTGTGTGGGGAAGTCCAGTATGCCATGTTTTGGGGTCTGGGCGCTCCTGGGGGGAGGGCTTTATCGTGTCTTTTTGGAAATGATTTGTAAGCAAGAGAATGTGGAGATGCCTGCCTCGGCTTGAAGAAAGCCGCTTATCTGCACAGAACACGGCAAGGTCTCCACTGAGTCTCCATGATAAAGAAAACACGAGAGTGTGGGTGTGCAGCCCTCCCACGTGACATCAGCCCCTCAGAGCAGAGGATGTTTCCAGCACCATTGTTTGCCTCAGCGCATGGCTAACTCTGTTCTTCCCAAATGGTTTCCTTTGTAAAAACGGACTGATTGGTGCTCTGGGTGAGTCTTCAGGTGGTTAAATAATGAATGATGGCTGAAGAACTAACGGACTTTGATGTTTTTCAGAGAATCTTTTTTTTTCTTGTGTCTGTAACTTAATTCAGTAACTGACCCTTTTCTGCTACTGACTGATTTTTTTTTCCAGTCAGTTGGAAAATAGATGGTTTGAGAAACTGACTAGGTAACATGTGATGGATATTGATCTTTGAATAAGGACCTCTGGGCATGTTCTAGCATTAAAAGTTTTGTAGTTACACAAAGTAAGATATTCTACTGCCAAGGCCACTTGTTTCTTTCCTGGATTTATTAGTGAAAAGTTAGTCAATTGAGTAAATAACTATTTAACACCTATTATATAGAGAGAGCTTTTTGTTTAGTGTTGACCAAGATAGAAATAGAAAAAAGAAATGTCCTTTGTAATCAAGTTGTTTTCCTAGAGGGGGAGATAAGACATAATTAAAAACTGTTATAATAAATGACCAAATGTAATAAGGCCTTTCATGGAAATACAAATAAAATGCATTAAGGTGTCTATAAAGGGACAATTAAATCCATAGAGGTGGCGTCATTGGAACTGGGCATTGAAA